TGTATCCTGTGACCTTTCGGTAGTCAGGGAGTCCAGGGACGAGCAGAAACATGGGATTGAAGTGCGTTCTGGGATACAGGGGATCATGAGAACTAATTATGTTAAAAGTAAATTGATCTGGCTGTGTTGACTATAGAATAATATCTTTTGTTGTTTGTCATCCCTCAATGAATTGCGCATTATTTAAAATGACTAATGACTTCAGCAGCTCCCTGGCTCTACCCTCTAACCCAGCCTGGATCTCACAGACTTTGAGGCTGTCGTCCCCTCAGCCAGGTGAGTCTTGCCGATAAGTGTGAAAGTATGAAACACACCTCTGCTCGGCCTGCGGTGAGGAATCATTTGAACTACTGACTGTTGGCATGCAGAAGGACTACTGCAAGCTTCTAATTTAGTTCCTTAGGACAAATCAAAACTGACTTTGTTACACATGTGCGATCTAGAACACAACCACCATTATTACACAAAACACAGAGCTCTGACCTCGTTGCACCTGTCTGTTGTTTTTCTAGTATGTGTGGTAGTGTGGTAATGGTGGAGAACTCCTGCTTTGCATTAACCCCCCGTGACATTAAAGTTATGCCTGAATAATTCTTTAAGCAGAGCTTACCTGCAGTAGGTCTCGATCAGCCCTGTGGCGCCACTGTCTGCAGGACGCTCTCACAGTGGGGCAGGAGGGCTGGTTTATCTGGAGTCTTTCCACCCTGGGGCTCAGCGCGGGCCTCCGAGCCCAGAAGCCACCGACCGCTCTGGCAAGTCATTTCGACCTACAGCTGCAGACGAGACGTGTCATGGACAGAGGTGTGAGCGCTCCCTACTGTGACCAAAATACACATACTTCACTGCAACAGTACAGGCTGAAAGACTGGTATCAGAGTTCAGTTTGTCTTTTATTTTTTCAGATGATGTTCTGCTGTTCTGCTCATCCTGCATGGTAGATATTGTAGAGCACTGCTCCCTCCCAGAGTTATGGGCTGAGCTGCTGCCCCATGACCTTGAACCACAGCTCCCTCCTCCCCCACTACGCCCTGTATAAGGGGGTCCCCCTTAGCGCTCGCCCACTTCCCACTGCACGGCGAGCTCTGGGAAACAGTCTCCCCATGCTGTCCCTTCCTCTGTAAAGGAAACCCCCTGCACGGGAATCTGCAAACCTGCCTCCCACCTGCTCTCTGTCGCCACCCTCTCTGCAGAACCGGGCTTGGGCCGACTCCACACAGCCTGGTGTTATTTGAGCAAGTGGGCTGTGTGCCCAGTGTGGGGGGGGTGGAGACAGAGTGCAGCAGCAGGTTATGTAGTTTCTGGAAAACGTGCTGTAAATGACAGGCATGCAGGAATATTCATGTTAACATGGTACACAAACAACCAGATAAATGGAAGCAGTTCAAGTAGGAGCTGAGTCAGCATGCACAGGCTGCAAAGAAACAAGAAAAGTTTTATTCCCTGCTGAAAAGAGAAGAAAAGAAACACAACATTTTGGACCCGAAGGAGGCTCCACAACTGAAACGCTGTCTTTCTTTTCTTCTCTTTTCAGCAGGGAATAAACCTTTACTTGTTCCTTTGCAGATAAATGAACATACAGTATTCTTATTTTTAGAGCACAATTGATTAAAGTATTCTCGGGTTTAATGTTTTAAAAATAACACTTTTATTTAATCATTTTATACTTAGCTTTTGAAACAATAATTGATTTTGGATTTTATTATATAGTATTAAATTTATTTCCTAGGAAATATTCAAAATACTTATTTTTATATGGGTTAAATTGAGAAATATGTCTTTCTTAATATGTGTGGATTTAATATACATTTTATATGCTATTTTTTTCAGTATGTTTGAATCTTTTATGAGTCATGAATGAATATCAAAGATGTAACAAATTGTTAGTAGTACGAATTACTAGTTACTAGTTTTATACTCTACTTGAATCGTGTATGTTTTATGTACAATATTTGTGTCCCGCTTTGCATGAAAAAGTGTTTTTCATATGATATTTCATATCACTTAGGCTAAAGCTTCTTTCTAAAACATGTAACTAACAGATACAACAACCAGTGTGAGAAACACAATACTCAGCATTCCAGGCCTCTTATTTGTCTCCTTTCTTTTGTTCCTTTATCACACAATGTTTCTGCAACATTTTACTGCAAATAAGCACAATTTTCAATCAGTTTTAGGCAATGAAAATGTGATAATGAACTTTAAATTCTGAAATCTAGAAATAATTATATATTTTTAAGATAGCATGTTAATATTACCAGGAAATCTTGAGATGATCACTTATGATTCAATGTATTGATGTAATTATGCATTAATGTTTTCTTAAACCTCATACGGAGAGAGTGAGAGAACACTGTCAAAAATAAAAAATGCTTATTTTAATTGAACCCTTATAGAACATATTTAAAGAACTAAATTGTATATCTGTGATATTTTATTTTCAAAAAAGAAGGCTGCACATGCATACTTAATGAGGTATTGATCAGAAAGATCAGGTACATACTTTTGACTCCATTATCATTTATTCCTGACTGTCAACATTTCAGCAAAAAAAGCCATATCAGAAAATTAATATATTATTTTCAATGTTTTAAAGAACATATTGGGATTGTAAATTATAGGACTTCACTTTCATATCTATTGGGAATAAACCAAGCAGTGGAAATCAACATGTGTTAATTATACTGATATATATTCTGAGAAGCTTTAAAAGCAACTAATGCTAATAATTTCAATATTCATTTATTTTACATTCTGTACCTACAATCAGTGATCCTTGAATACCTAGACACCCATAAAGCGTTTATTTCCCTGAGCTGTGATTACCTGCCGCTTTACTGGGTGCTACTGGGTTTTGAAAGCAAGGTAAGTGACCTTTCAGGTGCTTCCTGAAGTTCTCATCTCTCAGCCCATAGATAACAGGGCTTAATGTTCTGGGAATGATGTAAACTAAGAAATATCGGACATAGTGGAGATCCAGCAGCATTCCTGACGGAAAACTCCAGAAGAAGTTTTCAGTGAAGGGAGCGATGAAGGTCAGCATGGCCAGCAGGAGCTGGAGCCCGTGGAGCAGGATGGTGTTTCGGGCCTTTTTAGCGGAGGTCTTCTCAGAGGAGCTGGCCGACCTGGCTGCGAACATGATCCGCAGATAGGTGCACACTATGACCAGCCACACCACTGAAAAATACAAGGTCTTTATAAAGACTCTTTTATCATATTGATAGGAAACCCTAAAAAAATTCTCACGGAGGCAGTAAATGGATGTGCTAAAGAAACTGGTCTGCTCTACTGCCAGGACTATAAAGAGGTCTGTGATCGGGGGAATAAAACCAATGAACCAGATAACTCCGATGGCGATGTAGGTCCTTTGCAGACTGCAGATCTGGGAGTGGCGCAGGGGGTAGCAGATAGCGATGTATCGCTCCAGGCACATCACAGCCAGGTTTAAAGGAGTGTTCAGCGTGGTGTTGACAGCAAGAATCAGGTAGAAATAGCAGACAGGCACAAAGATGAAGGGCTTCACCTCACTCCAAATGTGCAAAGTCAATGCTACGCTCAGCTCAAACACATCATTAATAACCAAATGAACAAAGAGCACATAACGGGAATTTTCATAAAATATAGGGTGCTTAAAGTATGTAAATATCAGCATTCCATTCATGATGTTTGTGACGATATACAAAGCAATAGTGACAGTAGCTTTAGCAATGGCACTTGGCTGCATAGGAATGTAATTCTTAAAAAAGGCAACATCATTTCCCGAGATATCTTCAGAAGTATTCATTTAGGCAGGTCTGCTGGATCTGCTCAAAAATATAAACATTAATGTTATATTGAAACATACAGTTTGTAGAACTTTTAGTGGATTCCAGTAAAAATATATTTTGCTTTGCAGTAGCTGGTAAAACACTGAAAAGCCAGCGCAGAACATCACTAGAAAACAGAGAGGCTTGCAAATGCAGTGCATGTTTAGTAGGTGGGCAGCATTGCAGTTCTTGTGCCTTCAGGCCTTTCCTGCTAGCAGGTACAATTCTGTACCTTCTGTAGGAGAAAAGAACCTGGCTGTTCTGTGCACAAGATAGTAGTGAGGAGTTTTCCCCAGATTTGGTGTGAGTATTCTCACTAAAAATGCAGTTAAACATATTCTTATTAGAATACACAATGAGACACAAAAAATGAAATTTCTTATATTCTTTTAAGTTTTGGATTCATTGCTCTCCTTTACATATAGCAGCGTGAGACTGCAGGCCCAGCTATAGCCTCCTCACACATTCCTTTCCACTATAATAGACATTGCATCACTCCTAAGGCAATTATTCACTAAATATTACTAAAGTGAATAGCAAAGCAAATGTTTTTCCTCATTCCAACTATTTCTAATAATAGTACCTCTAATACCAAATTATATAAATCACTTTTATTAGGGTGATTTAGGGTTGAAGGACCTTATTCATCTTCCCACAGTATCCAGCATTGCTACATACCTTATATAGAGAAAGGGATTTGTAATGGAGCCCAGGACACCTGTGTTAAACAAAGATACAATTACTGAACACACATGAAAAACACACACTGTGTACAATTAATGTGCTGAAATTAACAGATAAAGTTGCTATATGAAATGCATTGTGCAGTAAACTTTAAACCGACAAATTTCAATGATTTTTTTTTTTTTATGACAAACCACAGAGGACAGAGAGCAGACCCACTGTATATTATCAGAACAGGTGAGACATACTAATACATTGCACAAATTGTACTATTACACTGAGGTATTGTTTCTCATGCATTATAGCTCCCTGTCTTAAGCCCATTTTCCAGCCATTGCCAGACTCACACTCACTCCTGGTCCTTACCTCCCGCAGGCTGCTCTGACAGAGGGGCAGGGGAGCCGGATTATATCAAGGGTTTCTCTGCTCCCCTGTGCTGTGATGTCATCTATGACCAGAAGGTCATAGGGGAGCTCTGGGATGAGCAAAAGGTTAATGAGGCCAGAGTGGATCATGAGACAGATAATTGATCAGGCTGGAATGGCAATCTGAGTATTCGACACCCTTAGGACTTTTAAACAAATTTTGGTACCAGTGAATGTGGTTGTCGCTAGTAATTAGTTGCACAGTCAGACAGGCACACAGAGACCAGGCACTTTGACATTTTCTACACGTCTGTGGAGACAAGCTGGCGCAGTGTAGCCTGAGAAATAGGAAGACAAGGTGTCGCTGAGCTCTTCATAATGAGTTAGAGCAGAGATGCACAGAGGAACGGTTATTGACAGTTTTGTGTTTGTGCTACACGGGCCTCTCTCTTTAACAATAAAAAAGTCAATTGTTCAATCCTGCAACTTTTCAGTCTTTTTGGGATTTAAATCCTGTGCTCTGTGGCAAAAAGGCAGAGATGGTAGTGGACATGTGTCAACCGTTTATGCACAGAGCTTCCATCAAAATGGTAATAACTCTGTATCCAAAATACTACACAACTTTTTAGCTGCAAACTTAACACTGTGTGCAGAATAACCACAAAATGACACGACCACAAGAACAGTACAACAGTTCTTACCAACCCTATTAATTGTGACAGAATATGATTTGTTTTTAAACATAGCTGGAAATAATAACATATAAACAGACAAGACAAAGACGATCTCTAGTTTGCTCTAGCTGTAATGCTGCTCTGTAGAGGTGAAAAGAATCCGATGCAGATGCAGGAGTCGTTGGGAGGTAGGCAAGCGAACAGAGCAAAACCAGGAGCCGAGTCGTAGTCCGAAGGCGGAAGGTGGGTCGAGATCCGGTAAAAGCACTGGTGGCGAACAATCCAAAATGCGAGACAGAATTGTGGTCGAAATGAGAGCTGCAGGGTCAAATCCGAAATAGACACAGATAGCAAATGATCCAAGGGGCGAGACGAGATCCGAAGTCCGAAGGCAAAAGGTGTAGACAGAATTCCAGGAAGGCAAAAGGGTAAGAACCGCTAGGCAGAGCAACAAGAAGTGAACTCAATACCGGGCAGGTTAGAATAGTATAAATAACCCGGTGTGCCGCATGCTAGAGCAATTGCAGGTGTGTTAACTTGTGTGGCGGCGCTTGTTAATAGTAACCCGCTGCTGGTGCCGATTAGCTTGCTTACGCGTTGATCTCTGCTGGCTGGTGGTCGTGACAGTACCACCCCCTTCACAGGCGGCTCCTGATTCCCGAGACTGTGATCAGGATAGTCCCTGGAGAAAAAAAAAAAGCCGATTAGTGTAGGGTTCAAAATATCTTTCTCCGGAACCCAAGATCTCTCCTCGGGGCCAAAACCCTTCCAGATGACTAGATACTGAAGGTTACCGCGCTTCCATCTGGAGTCTATGATCTTGAGGACCGTATATGCCGGGCGCCCCTGAATGCGACGAGGAGGTGGCAGGCTACGTTGGGGAGCCGCAAGGGCAAGCGGTAAAAGGGTTTCAGGAGGGAGACATGAAATGAGGGGTGGAGCAAGGCAGAAGGTAACTGGGGTGATCCGGGAGAGAATCCAGAAGGGGCCGATATACCTAGGCCCAATCTTTTTGGAAGGCTGATGTAGAGGTAGGTTCCATGTAGATAACCAAACAAACTGTCCTCTCCGAAAATGAGGGGCTGGTCTGCAGTGTCGGTTGGCAAATTTGGTGTGGCACTGGGTCGACTTAATGAGAGCTGCCCTCGCCATTCTTCAGGTCCTTCGCAGTTTGGAAATATATTGTTGCACTGACGGCACTGCTGTGTCCGGCAGTATGACAGGGATGAGAGTGGGCTGATAACCTAATGCACAGAGGAAGGGAGAGAGACCCGTGGAGGGGGAGGTAAGAGAATTGTGGTCATATTCTGCCCAGGGAAGCAGTGATGACCAATCATCCTGTGAGCTGGAGGTGAAGGCTCTCAAGAAGGTCAGGAAGCTTTGGTTGGTCCTTTCCACCTGACCATCGGCCCCAGGATGATAACCAGAAGTCAAAGATACATAGGTCCCTAGAGCTTGACAGAAAGCCTTCCAAAAGGCAGAGACAAATTGAGGTCCCCTGTCCGAGACATCGTCAGGCAAACTATGTATCCTAAGGACCTGTTGCACAAACAAAGATGCCATTTCCTGGGCTGTGGGCAATGCTGGGAGGGGGACAAAATGGGCTGCTTTGGAAAAACGATCAGAGACCACCATGATTACCGTATGACCCTGACTGCTAGGAAGGTCCGTAATGAAGTCAACAGCTATGTGGGACCAAGGGCGGTGTGGGATTGGAAGGGGGTGAAGGAGGCCAGCCTCCCTAGAGCGCGGAGTCTTGCTCCTGGCACAGACCGGGCAACCCCGGGCGTACTCTGCTGCATCAGATCGCATGAAGGCCACCAAAAGTCCCTGGTGAGGAGGTCAAGAGTGCGTCTTCATCCAGGGTGGCCGGCAAACCAGGAATCACGCCCCCACTGCAAGACAGTAGGACGCAAGTTGTCCGGGACAAAAAGTTTATCCAGGGGGCAGCACAGAGGAACTGTAGTTTCGTTGAGGGCTCGTCTGACTTGATCGTCAATTGAGCAATGAATCGCTGCCACAATTCTGTTGGAAGAGATGATTGGTTCAGGCGAGTAGTCCAGGTCTCGGGGGGGTTCTTGGGGCGGGGGGGTTGCCCCGGCCTTCCCTTTTTGGAGCCAGGAGTGTAGGTGATAACAAAATTGAAACAAGAGAAGAAAACTGACCAACGGGCCCCAACGCGAGTTAAGGCGCTTGGCAGATTGAATATAGGACAGGTTCTTATGGTCCGTGATAATGACAAAGGGGTGATGAGCCCCCTCCAGGCAGTGTCTCCATTCCTCGAGGGCCAGCTTGATAGCGAGGAGTTCACGATTGCCCACATCGTAGTTAACCTCGGTGGGAGAGAGCTTCTTGGAAAAGAAGGCACATGGATGAGGAAGGGGATCCTCTTCGAGGGGCTGGGAGAGGACTGCACCAACCCCATGGGCAGAGGCGTCAACTTCAACAATGAAAGGCTGCTGTAGGAGAGGGGCGGAGCTGGAGAGTTGTTTCAAGCGCAGGAATGCCTGGTTAGCCTCCGGATTCCATTTACCTCGGCTTGGTCGGTTGCGGGTCAGAACCGAGATGGGCGCCACAACGGAGCCAAAGTTCCGGATGAATCGCCTGTAGAAGTTGGCAAAACCTAGAAAGCGTTGGATTTGCTTTAAATTGCGAGGCACAGGCCAATCATTGATAGCCACAACCTTAGACGAGTCCATCTCGACTCCAAGGGGAGAAATAATGTAGCCCAGAAATTGAATCTTAGAAGCATGTAAAATGCATTTCTCGAGCTTGGTGTAGAGCTGGTTGTCGACGAGTCTGGACAAGACATCCTGGA